GGTCCCGGTCTCGGTCCCGAAGGCGCCACCAGAGGAAGTACAGGCGCTACTCGGGGTCTTACTCGCGGAGCCGGTCGCGGACCCCCAGCCGCCGCCGGTACCGGGAGAGGCACTACGGCTCTTCCAGGAGGCACTACCGGTCTCCCTCGCCAGGCCGGTCCCGCAGCCGGTCCGGCTCTCGGGGACGGTCGTATTATCGAAGGGCCTACGCGATCACGCGGGGTAGACGCTACTATGGCTTTGGTCGCACGCTGTACCCGGAGGAGCACAGGAGTTGGCGGGGAAGATCCAGGACCAGGTCGCGGAGTCCAACTCCCTTTCGCTTAAGTGAAAAAGGTGAGTCGAGGGGGGTGCACAGTTAACTTCTCCCTTGACACCTCCTGTGTAGTTTTCAATGCTTTTATTTTCTTTGATGCTTGAAATCTCAACAGTTTTGTAGGGAGGGAGGGAGGACATTAGTAGGCTAACAGTTAAAACGGTACCCAGTTTTAAAGTTGACGGCATTTCTTTTCCCTTGGGATTAAGCTGTAGGTAACTTTTTCTGGTGGCTGGCACTTTTTAGTGGAGCCTTCTAAATGTTAGTGACTTAGTTGTTTACTTGCTCTAAGTTTCTGCTAGTTTTTTTACCAAAAAAAAAAATCGATGTTCAGAATACATTGTTGAAGAGAAAGCAAAAACAATGTGAAATTCACGTCTTTGGTAAGGAAAGCTGAAAACTGTTGAGATTATTTAGGGATGCTTATTTTTTCCCAGCAAAAAAATGAAAGAGAATTTTTCCACAAATAAGGATCTATTTTGCACATGAAAATGAAATATTAAACGTCTTTGTTCTGCTATTGTAAATAAAATGCAACCTTATTTTGTGATTCTGAGTTCTCTGCGGAATGTTAGAAGATTAAGGAATATCTCGTTTCTTTTGTAGATCGAATGGAGCTGTTAGAAATAGCAAAAGCCAATGCAGCAAAAGCCTTAGGAACAACCAACTTTGAATTGCCCCCTAGTCTCAGAATTGTTCCTGTATCTAAAGAAACAGATTGTGAAACAGCTGTACCAAATAATGGTGCAAAGTTTGGGGTGAGTATTCTAACTTTATCCAGACAAAATCTTCACAAAGCTACTGCCAGGAAGATCTGATTAGTGTTTTTATTTGACTTACCTTAGACTACTTCTTGGAAAGGTTAGCTAGATATAGTGTTAAAATCAAAATAGATCTGACAGTATTAGACATGGTCTTTCCCATAAAAATGGGAGATTAATGAACTTTAGTTGACAGAATTAAGTGCTTTCATGATTGTAGCTGGTACTTTAGTGTTTTCTATGTAGTTAACAACTTTTTCAAACTAGTCTATACAGAGTATCTGTAGTTTTCATTGGCAGCATTATGTTCCCAGAAATTCTGTACTCAACATACAGTATAGTTTATCTGCTTTATTTCTGTCTTATAGAAAACATGAATGTGGTCTCCAGACATTGCTGAAGAAATCTGTTGGTAATTGATACATGGGTATTAATAAGCATCAGGTTTAACTAATTTGAAGTCTGTGTTCACACATTGAAAGCTTAGTTTTTGCTGGTAGATCCATGTGCATGCTAGAATTTGGGGTAGGTACTATTTAGTTAAGATACAGAAGACAATTTTTAAAGTACACTTGGTAATGTTGGAGCATCTGTGATAGAGATGTCCATTTCATAATATATGCAATATATTCCAGATGTTTTGAGAGATTACAGAAGAAGAGGCCTGCTTCACTTGCAGATAAGTTTATAATTCTCCAGAAATGTGCAGGATGTGCATTGGCAAATTGCACTGTCTTTTAATTATGTTGAAACACAAAGCATAAAAATCCATAGCTTTAAAGGTTTAAGGTAGCTAGGAATTATTAAACAGGAAAGATGATAACTAGATGAACCTATCATTCAGATCCAGATATGTGTATGCTTAAGTATTAGTAGTAGACAAATAAGATCTTAGTTGTTGCTTTTTCAGATGATTAGGTACCCAACTGGGCTAATGCCTTAAGTGATTTTCAACCTTTTTCATCTCAAGGTATACATAAACAAATTACTAAAATTCCACGGCAAACCAAAGTACATATTTTTTGCTGATCTGTCAAAAAGTATAATTTTGATTCATTCACACCATAAGGGCTATTGTGTTGGCTGTCCCCCCCCCCTTTTTTTTTAACCTGACAATCTTTAGGAAAAGAGGTCAGTGCCTCTAAATAGTCAGGTATTGCATGTTTTAAAAATTCTTGCAGCATACCAGTTGAAAATTGCTACCTTAGTTCTTTGAAACTAGGTATTTTCTGGTATGACTTTATTTTCAAGTCGTTTGAACTTGTATTTGGGGATACAGGACTGCCCATTTATTGCATCAATTTTTGTTAGGGGGAAACGAGTACAGTGTTGTTTAGACTGATAACTGGTTAGATCCAACTTGATTTGTTGTATCCCTGCAGCTAAATTTATATACTGTTGGGCTGCTTTGTATATAGTATTGTAAACCAAAGGTACAGTTTTTAAAAAACATATTTTCTCTTCCTGTCTAGCTGTCAGAAAAGCTAACAGAAGATGGAACTAAGAATGCCAGTGAAAAGTCTTCCCAGCAAAAAAGCATTAGCTCTAATGTAAGTATATCTAAGGACTTGGAACATATAGCCATTATGTGGGCTTTTATTTTTGTTGAAAGGGTCATTGCTCTTTGTCACGATAATTGGGGGCCTACTAAGCCACTTTATAGAATTAATATTTTGTATACTTTTGTGCCACTTTTACATAATGGCTTTTGTCATTTCTTTTAAAGATTTTTAAAAATTGATTTTTTAGGGGGAGAAGGAAACATTGATCAGTTGCCTCCTGTGCATCCCCTACTGGCAACCTTTCCATGCACAGGACGACCCCCATCCAACTGAAATTACACCAGCCAGGGCTTGTCATTCTTCTTATAACATCTCATTATTGTAATATGCTCTGTAGTTTCTTTACCTAACAGTTTGAGTCTGGTTACAGATGAGTTCCATGCTTGGCTCTGGTTGGTGTCTCTAGTTTCAATCTTAAATGGAATTATTTAATGTAAAAGCAGATATTTTAAGTATGTACAATATATGCATCTGGGAAGCTGACTTAAGAATTTGTTCTCTTACAGAATTCTGTAGCAAAGTCAGTGCTTCAGAAATTGACTAAAACTGCTGAAGAGACCTCTTCAGGATCTCCAAAAATAAACCAGAAAAAAAGTCCATATGAATTGTGGAAACCTGTTTAAAGAAAAGTGATGGCCAAGGTTGCCTGAAATGCACTTTATTGCAAGTTTGTGTTTTCTATAGCATTCATTCCTGTGAGCGATTTAGTGGTAATTAACATTTTAGATTTCTCTTGGCAGATACGAGATAGTACAGATGGACCAGAGAATTGTGTACAGGTGGGAGTCTTGTATATACACTTGTAAATGTTTCGTGTAATATTGGTTGGTTATATAAAAATGAAATTTATAAGACAGTAATTAAACTGTGTTGTATATATATTTGTTAATAAATTTCTTGTTTTTACTGTTTTAGTCTCACTTTATTACACATCTTACATAATGGGCCTTTAAAATGAATGTTAACTACAAACTGAAATAGATTGATTATAAACATTCGTGTAGTAGTTTTTGCCCATTAATACATAGTGGGCACCAAAAATAAAAAGATTTAAGCTACTTTTAGATTAACTAATACAAGTGTTTTTGGCTTATTAGATCAAATGTTTGAACATAACATGCCAGCCAGCTTAATGAATTTATTAAGCTTATGTGCTGGGGCATAGCAGTAAAACATGTTTTGCTAGAACCTAGGTAAAAATTAGAAATCCTAACAGATAAAACATGCATGAGGGGTTTTTTTGGTGGTTTTTTGAGTGCCATCTATTTTTTCTCTTAGGTATGCATATATTTTTCTTCTCTACTCTTTTGCTCCCATCTTGAACAGCCTCAAATTTAGAAAATAGATTTCCAAATAGGCCGGGATAACAAGTTAGAACATAATGGACAGAATATCAGAAGGAAAACACAAATACAGTGGAACTTTGGTTCTAGAACTTAATTCATTCTGGAAGATAGTTTGAAAACCAAATCATTTTTTCCTATTAGAAATAATGTAAATTGAGTTAATCTGTTCCAGACCCCCAAATGATTCCGTTTTAATCTTATATACAGTATATGTCTAATGTAAACACTTTAAAAACAATGAAATGGACAGTAAAAGTGTAAACTTAACCAAAAAAAGGAACAATATTCACAGCACAATTTCCTGGGATGTTAACACGAGAAAGCGGTAAACTCATACTTGCGCATTCTCTCTTTGTTGCATGATTGATCATACAAATACCAGCATGAAGGTGGTGGTGGGTTTGAAAAGCGAATTGTTTGAGACGAGAGAACTAAAGTTTAACCAAGGAACAAAACACCCGGAGATTAGGTGAAGAGATGAGCAGGCTGAAACTACAAATTAAGTAGAAGTTGGCTTTTTAAAAGTGATGGTCCTCTAGTTGGACTTAAGTTATTAACTAAAGCTGTCCACTATTTTACCTGCACTTTTCAATAAGATAGTCATGTGATTACTTAAATTTCTTTGTTGTACAGGCCACTTGTGTTAATTAGCTACATGTGGCTAGTGGCTATCTTAAAGGAAAGTGCAGATATTTTTATCATAGAATGTATTGGATAGACCTTTAGTGCACAATGACTTGCATATGTACATTCCTAGACATTTAATTCCTGTCACTATCACTTATAAAGCCTTGGTAACATTTTCATCCCTTAAGCCAGCAGCACTGGATTAGAACAAGGAATTTCATGGAAGAAGGGGTTCCTTTGGATAAACATTTTCACATTTGGGTTAATGGGTTATTAGGAAGGTAATGTGCTCCTAAAGGAATAAAGGTTACATGGTTAGGTTCACTTTTATTCCAAGGAGAACATTAATATTGGTAGACTGGCCTGGTGTTAGCAAAGTCAGAAAACGTTAAGGATTGATTGGTTTTAAGGTTTGTAACTAAAATGTGGTTAACCCGAGCACCCTGTTATTGGTATCTTACTAAAGTTGCATAACTCAAAGGATTTCCTTTTAAGAGAGACTAAATTGACAATACTAGAATTTTTTTTCACTGTCAGCTGGTAATGGAAAGTACCCAATCTAATCATGACCTCTGTTTGAACATAAGCCGCTTAACAGCCAAATCACTTCTTCACCCAAACCCCTTCTTTCTTAAGAGAGGTCTGACTAGTTGCTATGGGTATGTGCCACTTAAGAGATTTCACTTCTAGAGTGATCTCAGCCACCTTTACCATTAGCTTTCAAGGAGACTTCAGCCTATTAACATGCTTGAGACTTCCCTATTTAATTTCTCTTTATTGGCTCATTTTCTCTTTTCAGTACCCTGAAAATACATATATTTTTTCCATAATCACCCCATCCTTGTCTAACTTAATCTAGTTAGTTCAGCTTGGCCAGGACTATGTTTTATCTCTCCTATGTTTTGTAACACACAAGATAACAGTGCATACCCCCAGACTTATGTCTTTACATAAGTGGGATACAATTGCTCAGGTATGTGATACCCTGTTACTAAATAATCTGGACAATACGGTCATGTGCCACTTAAACCACAGGAATTTGTTTTGAGAAATGTGTAATTAGCCCATTTCATCATTGCAAACAGAGGGCACTTAATACAAACCTAGATGGTACAGCCTACACACCTAGGCTATTCATATGGTATAGCCTATTGCTCCTGGGCTAGAAATCTGTACAGCATGTTACCGTAAACAACAACATGAGATTAAATCAAGCACAACAGAAAATGATGCAATCGAGATGTAAACATGATGTAACACGGCATACTGTTTTAAGCAAACTTTGTAAGAATACTAAGATAGGTATAGTAAATACATAAACCAGTAACAGTCATTTATCAAGTATTATGTACTATACATAACTCTGCTGTGCTTCAGTAGGCTTGTTTACACCAGCATCACCAGAGACACCTGAGTAATGCATTTTGTTACATTACAATACCTCACTAGGTAATAGGAATTTTTCAGCTCCATTGTAATCTCATAGGACCACCCTTGTATATCTGTCATTAACTGAAACACTGTTAACGCAGTGCTTGACTGTATAACAAGATGAGAATTTGTACCAAGAGTCTAGATTCAGTGCTGTCCAATGGTGTACTAGTTTTCTGAGCTCCAGTTTCCAATGCCTGCCCCAACTCTTCAAAATGAACCTTTCCTACACAGCTTATCACAGTACTGACTGAATTAATGGCTTTAGTATTCACCCAGTCATCTTCAGAGTAGTCCTCAAGTCATAATATTGATACCTGTTTTGTTTTTTGTTGAAGCTGCAGTGGCTATTGGGAGTGCTTTTCTCCCCTGGAAAAAATCCTATTTTTCCTTAATCCCAGGTCAGTATGATTTATGAAACCTACTCCTATTAATCTTTCCCTCCCCTTCTTTCTTTTCCCTTAGTACAAAGGTATTAAATGCTTCTTTGGAAATGCTGGAGAACAAAACTATGGCAGTTTATTGATGTTTTTGTGTGTGTGTGTGTAAGATTGGGCAGAATGGGTATGTATTTGTCTCAAACTATTTAAAAAAATAAGTCAAATTACCACATCTTTACCCAATCCTCAAAGGCAATTATCGTAAATAGTATGCTGTATATCCTGTATTTTTTTCTATGCCTATACCAATCTCTCTTTATAAACACTACTGTTGGATGATCTGAAGTTTAGGAAAAAACCCAGGTTCACACTGAAATGTAAGGACAATGATACAGTACACTACTTTGAAAGAATTTTTATAGTCTGTTGATTTTGCCTAATAATTACCCCATTTAAAACACAAATATAAAAGTGGTGGTGAGTGGGACCATTCTTGAAAGTAATACTTCGTATGTTCCTTAATTTCTGTCCAGTTGTTATACTTCAAGACCATAAGGTTAATTTTGTCACTTGGCATGAAATCAATATGAAAACTTTAGGTTGCATTTGTGGTACTTACAGCTTTTCTAAGTCTATGACCATCCTATCAATTTCCTTTGTGGGAGGCACATGTGTTCCATGAAGGAGACTGTTATATGTTGGGCAGAACTCCTCTCCACTGACAAAGAGCTGGTGATGAGTGGTGGTGAGTAACTATAAAGATCCTATACCTTCAGTGGTTAAAAAATAGAAAACAATGGGATCATATTTGATTTCCAAGAAAAAGAATTCAGACTTGAAAAAAGGTATTTAAGAAATCTACTGCAGTGCCCATATGAACTAGCTGAGGACCAGTGGCTACTGAACTTACTCAACCAAGTTCACACAGTGGGAGAGCTTAAGTGAGAACACATTGTGCTCCGCACAATTTATAGCTCTCTCCACTCAACACTATAGCTATTAATATAATCATGATCTTAAGCACATTGCCTGTCTTACATAATTAGGGAAAGATAGAGTGCAGTTTAGCATTGCTTACTGCACATGATGAAAGTAAATATCCTACACAGGTAAGGGACACAGTAATAGTAACAGTCATAATCATGATAATAGTAATAGCTAACACTAAACAGTGCTTACTATATGCCAAACATTAAGTGCCATTCTATGAATTCATTTAATCTTTACAATAAACCTATGAAGTAAGCACTATTATTATTTCCTGTATACAGATGAGAAAATTGATGGGGAAAAATGGTCTGACACATAGTAAGTGGTAGAGTCAGGATGCAAAGCTCCAAAATTAGCACTCTTCAATTTAAGTCCTTTCAGTAACATAAAGAGTACGCTATTAAATCACATAGGCTTACTGCTTTTCTCTCAGTGTTTCATATGTTTCTATGTCAGGTTTGATCTGCGTGGTCGACCGGTGATACTGGCATAACTGGGCAGCAGCATAATCTAAAAATAAAATGAGAACCACAGACTATTTTAGATGTTGGAGCATTATTAGGCCTGCTATTAAGTGGGTCATTAATGGGCCCATTCAATGAAGTAAAAGCCAATTTTATCTGAAAATCCCAGATCAGGGTTTTTCCTCTTCTTTTTCCTCTCCCATCTTTCTACATCTTCTGCACCAATCTCCAGTAAAAGGGGGGGGGGAAACGTTACCTCTACTACCTTATATAATTGCATGATTCCTTTTAAATTAAAAAAGGCCTTAAGACTGCCATCAGGACTATACTTTGACTAATAAAGAAAATTGTGGAATTTGCTGATCTGTAAGAATAAGCCTTTAACACTGACACCAAAAATAGCTGTGGTGGATACACTGTGTATCCATCAAAATTCTCCCCTCCTTTCTGGGCTCA